GCGGGGCTGCAGGAAGGTAAGTAACAGCTCTCTGTCAGCCCCCCCCACTGAACAGCCAATACCACTAGACCACCAGGGATTCAATATTATTATTTTAATATTATTTTATTTTTATATTATTATTATTTTTATATTTGCATTATTTTTTTTTAAATAGTTTTTTGTCCCCCCTCCCTGCTTGTTGCCTGGCCAGGGAGGGGGGACAAAAAAACATTTAAAAAAAAATAATGCAAATATTAAAATAATAAAATAATATTATTCAAATAATATAATATTAAAATAAAAATGCCCTCCCCTCACCCAGTTTACACACACTGCACAAACACACACACTGCACAAACACACACACTGCATTATATACACACTGCACTCATTATATACACACACACAACACACAAACACACACACTGCATTCATTATATACACACACAACACACAAACACACACACTGCATTCATTATATACACACTGCATTCATTATATACACATACAACACACACACTGCATTCATTATGTACACACTGCATTCATTATATGCACACACAACACACAAACACACACACTGCATTCATTATATACACACTGCATTCATTATATACACAAACAACACACAAACACACACTCTGCATTCATTATATACACACACAACACACACACTGCATTCATTATATACACACTCTGCATTCATTCTATACAAACACTGTAAATAAATATTCAATTAATGTAATTTTATTGGGATCTAATTTTATTTAGAAATTTACAGATAGCGGCTGCTTTTCCCACCCTAGTCTTATACTCGAGTCAATAAGTTTTCCCAGTTTTTTGTGGTAAAATTAGGGGCCTCGGCTTATATTCGGGTCGGCTTATACGCAAGTATATACGGTATTTATAAACACAGCAATTTCTCTGAAACTGCTATGTTTATAAAAAAAAAATGGGTTAACCCTTGCTGGACCAGGCACCCAGACCACTTCATTAAGCTGAAGTGGTCTAGGTGCCTAGAGTGGTCCTTTAAGATATTAAGTGATAGCACTTACTCTCACGTCATGCCGTTACTGAAAATATAGATTTAAATATAGTTATAGGTGATGGAAAGCTTGAGGTGAGACCAAACACAATAACACTCCCCGCAGTACAAATAGAGAAATTACTGTAATGCAGCACCTGCATATCTCAACCGGGACTTTGAGAAGTCCTCCTGGGGCACAGAAACTCAAGAAGTCATGTTTCCACAGCTATCCCAGAGTTCCCAGCTTGACATGCAAATGAGCACGGCTTGACATCACATTTCAGAGTTTATACCTTCGCAATGCACACTGTTTTAAACACAGCTTTTCTAAACCATAGCATAGGCTATTAGCCAAAAGGACCAGTGACCAGAAACCAGCTGAAGACTACAGTTTTGACCGTTGGGGTCTCGGCAGCATGGCGCTAGTGATGCACGCACTTTCATTATTTAAGTAACAGCGCCACTGTGTGGCCGTGGTGAAAATAACCCAAATTACTGATATCCGGGACAGATTCTAATCTTTGCAATGTTTGTTAAAGCTGTGAAAGTGATGCGATTTCGACACTGTAACAGGGTTATTTACTGAAGTGAACATTCTACGTGAATTTCAAAGTTAAGGCTAAAGTAACTCATTTGGAAGCATAGTTGAGAATAATTCCATTCTGGCCATCTTCGCTGTGAATTCATTTTGAATTCTCACTTTAGTTAATAGCCCTGTAAGTTTATTAACGCATACGGGGATATATACCAGCAGGTGCACTGTTCTATGATATATTTGTTTTTATCTTGTGTGAATAACCC